GTTCATCTCATGGATCTATTATAAACCGGTTCATCTGCGACACTTCACTGAGACTGTTCCAGAACTACAGGGACAATGGAACTGGACTTACTCAAAAGCTGATCTGGAAACACGTTATTCCCACGGTAAAAGACGTAACTCGGACCCCCTCCATCTGTAAGTAGTGACGCTAACTCGCTGTATACTTCTGTAAACTAAATAACTAGGGTCTGATTGTGCATCGAGGACATAGGGCTCCATGTGACGGATTGTCATTGTTGGAAAAAGTTTATTCTTATGTCTGAAATGACTAAGTACCTGTGATAAACAACTCAGAGCGTGATGCTACGTCACCGTGCGGGCGGGGGGAGGCGGGTGAGGGCGGGGGGAGGCGGGCTCACAGGCAGAAGAGCAGACTCTGGATCAGCTTGTTTGAGTCGAGGTGACGTCACCTCTGCACAAGAGATGGCTCTAATCTCACAAGCTTTGATTGTTGTGTGGTGTATCATACACATTAATATCACACATGTGCATAGGATTGAGTGTGAAACATGAAGAAAAGCGTGATATAGGACCTTTAAATTCAACCGGTTTGAATCATTAGCATTAGCCCAACGATGAATCCTTAGGTTAAAATAATGTACCCTAGCATTAGCCTTTATAACTCTCATTATGCTAATACTAGCATACGCGGGCTTCATGTGGATGCTGCTGCTCGTGGCGTACGGACAGAGAGACCCAAACGCCTTCCTCCTGAACCAACACCTCCTGAGGACCTTCAGACCGGATCCAGACCAGAGTCTCAGTCTGGACCAGGTCTACAGCTGGACCCAGACCAGGCTGCTGCCCAACCTGTTTGGACCATACCCCGGTACGAAGACCCAATAGAAGAGCTGAGACTGAGACAGTTTAAAGCCCTGGTCTTGTGTCTTGTGGGATTCAGATTCATTCATTGCATTGCAGGTTTCATCACTGATGGGAACTCGCTCCTGGTGGGTGGGGCTCGGCTAAGGCAGCTGAGGGTGAAGGGCCCCGTGGGTCGGGCCCCTGAGCCTCTGCACATGCACCGTAACCCTGAGTACACGTGGGACTGGGAGGACATGGGATCATACGGCCCCAAGTGGACCGGCCTAAACAGCACAGAGAGAGACCCAGGGACCGGCCTGAACCGCACAGAGAGAGACCCAGGGACCGGCCTGAACCGCACAGAGAGAGACCCAGGGACCGGCCTGAACCGCACAGAGAGAGACCCAGGGACCGGCCTGAACCGCACAGAGAGAGACCTGGGAGGTCTGGGAAGCGGCCCCTGGAGGTACCAGAAACCGCAGCAGCTCCGGACCCCTGCGCTCTGGGGCCACAGGGTCTTGTACAGAGGAGGGGGGTATGTGGCCGAGCTCGGGCCGAGGGCGACCAACGCCTCCAGGTGAGAGCTGTGTGTGTGTCTGTTTGTGTCGGTGTGTGTATGTGTTTGTTTGTGTGTGTGTGTGGGCTCTGTGTTGCAGGACTCTACAGTACCTGTGCTCTGTGTTGCAGGACTCTACAGTACCTGTGCTCTGTGTTGCAGGACTCTACAGTACCTGTGCTCTGTGTTGCAGGACTCTACAGTACCTGTGCTCTGTGTTGCAGGACTCTACAGTACCTGTGCTCTCGGAGGTGGTTGGACTCTTTGACCAGAGCTGTGTTCGCAGAGTTCACTGTGTACAACGCTAACGTCAATCTGTTCTGTGTGGTTGCTCTGCTGCTGGAGGCGGAGCACGCCACAGGTACAGGCAGAAGTAGTAGCAGTAGCAGTAGTAGTAGTAGTAGTAGCAGTAGCAGTAGTAGTAGAGTAGCAGTAGCAGTGGCAGTATTAGTTGTAGCAGCAGTAGTAGCAGTAGCAGTAGCAGTAATAGTACTGGTCTCTGTTCTCAGGAGCCTTCTCGTTCCACTGGCAGCTGCAGCCTGTGCGTCTGTACCCGTCCACTGGGGGGCTCCACCTGTTTGTGATGGCAGCAGAGATCATCTACATGCTGTTCGTGCTCTACTACATGTACAAACAGGTACGGGCACTACAGGTACAGATACTACAGGTACAGGCACTACAGGTACAGGTACTACAGGTACAGCTACTACAGATACAGGTACTACAGGTACAGGTACTACAGGTACAGGTACTACAGGTACAGGTACTACAGGTACAGGTACTACAGTTACAGGGACAACAGACAGACTCTTCTTCAGGTGTTTATCAGTCTCTTCTTCAGGTGTTTATCAGTCTCTTCTTCAGGTGTTTATCAGTCTCTTCTTCAGGTGTTTATCAGACTCTTCTTCAGGTGTTTATCAGAATCTACTTCTGGTGTTTATCAGTCTCTTCTTCAGGTGCAGAAGCTGCGCACTCAGAGGTTCTCGTACTTCTCTGTGCGCTGGAACCTTCTGGAGCTCAGCATCATCGCCCTCTCCTGGGCTGGAGTGGGACTGTTCATCACCAGGACCGTGTTAGGACAGAGGGAGATGGACTATTACCACGCCAACAGAGACAGGTACAGGGTTACCACGACATCAGAGACAGGTACAGGGTCACCACGCCAACAGAGACAGATACAGGGTCACCACGCCAACAGAGACAGGTACAGGGTCACCACGCCAACAGAGACAGGTAGAGGGTTACCACGCCAACAGAGACAGATACAGGGTTACCACACAAACAGAGACAGGCACAGGGATACTTCGCCAATAGAGACAGGTACAGGGTTGCCACGCCAACAGAGACAGGTACAGGGTTACCACGACAACAGAGACAGATACAGGGTTACCATAATAACAGAGACAGGTACAGGGATACCACGACAACAGAGACAGGTACAGCTGTCTTAAGACGAGACTTAAAACACTCCACAGAAGGAGCAGTTTGAAAAAGGGCAGAGAAAATGTATCTCATTCAAACTCTACACGGCGTACGCTGCGTGAAAACCTCCCATGCCCCGCCCCCTTCAGGTCATGTGACTGCCACCTAGCAATTGAAGAGCTGTGTTCTCCCCTCAGCTTCCCCAGCTTCTGGTCCGTGGCCTCCTCAGACCAGATGCTGCAGTACGTGGTGGCCTTCCTGGTGCTTCTGTCCACGGTGAAGCTGTGGCACCTCCTCAGGCTGAACCCCAACATGGAGCTGGTCTCCTCCGCTCTGACACGCGCCTCCTCTGACATCTGCAGCTTCCTCCTGGTCATGGGACTGATGCTGACCGCCTACGCCACCACCGTGAGGCCCTCATCTCTGCTTGCAGCTCTAACTTCTCTCTCTGTAAACAGGGGCCCTCATCTCTGCTCTGCTCTCTCTCTCTCTCTGTCTCACTCTCTAGTCTCTCTCTGCTTTCTCTGGTCTCTCTCTGGTCTCTCTCTGGTCTCTCTCTGGTCTCTCTCTGCTCTCTCTCTGGTCTCTCTCTGGTCTCTCTCTGGTCTCACTCTGGTCTCTCTCTGGTCTCACTCTGGTCTCTCTCTGGTCTCTCTCTGGTCTCTCTCTGGTCTCTCTCTGCTCTTTCTCTGGTCTATCTCTGGTCTCTCTCTGGTCTCTCTCTGCTCTTTCTCTGGTCTCTCTCTGGTCTCTCTCTGGTCTCTCTCTGGTCTCTCTCTGGTCTCTCTCTGGTCTCTCTCTGGTCTCTCTCTGTCTCACTCTCTAGTCTCTCTCTGCTCTCTCTGGTCTCTCTCTGGTCTCTCTCTGGTCTCTCTCTGGTCTCTCTCTGGTCTCTCTCTGCTCTCTCTCTGGTCTCTCTCTGCTCTCTCTCTGGTCTCTCTCTGGTCTCTCTCTCGTCTCACTCTCTCTAGTCTGTCTCTCTTGTTTCTTTGGTGTTTCTTATGGTTTGAAAGGACAGGGCCCTCATCCCTGCTTGCTGTTTTAATCCACAGTGTAACATCCTGTTTGGTTGGAAGATGGAGTCGTACAAAACTCTGTCTGATTCTATGATTACACTGATAAGACTCCAGGTCGGGATGTTCGACTACTCTGAGGTACAAGTACTGCTACTACCACTACTGCTGCTACTACTACTACTACTACTACTACTACTACTACTGCTACTGCTACTACTGCTACTTCTGCTGCTACTACTACGACTACTACTACTACTACTCTCTTTCTGGTCTCTCTGGTCTCACCCTATTCTCTGGTCTCACCCTGGTCTCACCCTGGTCTCACCCTGGTCTCACCCTGGACTCATCTCAATCTCTGGTCTCACCCTGGTCCATCCCTCGTCCATCCCTCGTCTCACCCTGGTCTCTGCTTCGTCTCACCCTGGTCTCTGCTTCGTCTCACCCTGGTCCCTCTCTGGTCTGGTTTAGGTCCTGGACCAAAGCCCAGTTCTTGGCGGTCTCCTGATTGGTTCCTGTGTGGTCCTCTTGGGGTTTGTGGTCCTGAACCTTCTGGTCTCAGTGATCCTGGTGTCGTTTCAACAGGAGCAGATCCACCACCAGGTAAGACCAACCAGAAAGATACCAGCAAGATACCAGCAAGATACCGGAGAGAGACCAGAGAGAGACCAGAGAGAGACCAGAGAGAGACCAGAGAGAGACCAGAGAGAGACCAGAGAGAGACCAGAGAGAGACCAGAGAGAGACCAGAGAGAGACCACAAAGAGACCAGAGAGAGACCAGAGAGAGACCAGAGAGAGACCAGAGAGAGACCAGAGAGAGACCAGAGAGAGACCAGAGAGAGACCAGAGAGAGACCAGAGAGAGACCACAAAGAGAGAGACCAGAGAGAGACCAGAGAGAGACCAGCAAAAGACCAGAGACAGACCGGAGAGATCAGAGAGAGAGACCAGTGAGGGAATAGAGAGAGATCAGAGCGGGACCAGAGAGAGGGACCAGAGAGAGACCAGAGAGCGACTAGAAAGAGATCAGAGAGAGACCATGGAGAGAGACCAGAGCGAGAGACCAGAGTGAGACTGCTTGTACAAACCCGCCCCCTCCCTTTCAGCCCTCTGATGAGGAGGAGGTGGTCCACATCATGCTGCAGAAGGTCTTCTCTATGTTCGGAGTTCGTTACTCAGGGTCGCCCTCTGCAGAGCGGAGCCGGAACTGCAGCAAAAACCAGGAAGAAGATCTACAGAAGACAGAGCACTGACCAGAGAGAGACCAGAGAGAGAGACCAGAGAGAGACCAGAGAGAGACCAGAGAGAGACCAGAGAGAGAGACCAGAGAGAGAGACCAGAGAGAGAGACCAGAGAGAGAGACCAGAGAGAGACCAGAGAGAGACCAGAGAGAGACCAGAGAGAGACCAGAGAGAGAGACCAGAGAGAGAGACCAGAGAGAGAGACCAGAGAGAGAGACCAGAGAGAGAGACCAGAGAGAGAGACCAAAGAGAGAGAGACCAGAGAGAGAGACCAGAGAGAGACCAGAGAGAGACCAGAGAGAGACCAGAGAGAGACCAGAGAGAGACCAGAGAGAGACCAGAGAGAGACCAGAGAGAGAGACTAGAAAGAGAAGGAAATGTGACTTTGATTGTCCAGTCTGTGTAACCATGACGATGGAGTCTGTTGTTGTGGACTCTAATGATGTGTGGTAACACTAATATATTACAATGAACTGGACCTCCCCGTGCTCTCCTCCCCCTGCTCCCTCTCCTCCCCCTCCTCCCCCTCCTCCCTCTCCTCCCCGTGCTCCCTCTGCTCCTTGTAAATAAATATTCAGTTCACATTAAAACATTTTGTGTGTTTCCTTCTGACTTTATTAATAATGCATTTATTAATTATTTTACATTCAACATTTACAAAACAAACCAGAGTTAAAGTCCCGATTGTAAATCTGGAAAAGGTGATGGGGAGGTGATGAAGAGGAGGGGGTGATGAAGAGTAGGGGATGAAGAGGAGCTGGTGAAGAAGAGGAGGAGGTGACGAAGAGGCGGGTCTTCAGTCCAAACTCTCGTACTGAGTTCTCTGATGAAGACGAGGAGCCGTGTCGAGCAGCAACCTGTGGGAAGATCCAGCACTTATGGACACTTCTGCACAGGGGGTATGGACACTTCTACACAGGGGGTATGGACCCTTCTACACAGGGGGTATGGACACTTCTGCACAGGGGGTATGGACACTTCTACACAGGGGGTATGGACACTTCTACACAGGGGGTATGGACACTTCTACACAGGGGGTATGGACACTTCTACACAGGGGGTATGGACCCTTCTACACAGGGGGTATGGACCCTTCTACACAGGGGGTATGGACCCTTCTACACAGGGGGTATGGACCCTTCTACACAGGGGGTATGGACACTTCTACACAGGGGGTATGGACACTTCTACACAGGGGGTATGGATCCTTCTACACACAGGGGGTAGGGACACTTCTACACAGGGGGTATGGACCCTTCTACACAGGGGGTATGGACACTTCTACACAGGGGGTATGGACACTTCTACACAGGGGGTATGGACACTTCTACACAGGGGGTATGGACCCTTCTACACAGGGGGTATGGACACTTCTACACAGGGGGTATGGACACTTCTGCACAGGGGGTATGGACACTTCTACACAGGGGGTATGGACACTTCTACACAGGGGGTAGGGACACTTCTACACAGGGGGTATGGACACTTCTACACAGGGGGTATGGACCCTTCTACACAGGGGGTATGGACACTTCTACACAGGGGGTATGGACACTTCTACACAGGGGGTATGGACCCTTCTACACAGGGGGTATGGACACTTCTACACAGGGGGTATGGATCCTTCTACACAGGGGGTAGGGACACTTCTACACAGGGGGTATGGACCCTTCTACACAGGGGTATGGACACTTCTACACAGGGGGTATGGACACTTCTACACAGGGGGTATGGACACTTCTACACAGGGGGTATGGACCCTTCTACACAGGGGGTATGGACACTTCTACACAGGGGTATGGACACTTCTGCACAGGGGTATGGACACTTCTACACAGGGGGTATGGACACTTCTACACAGGGGTAGGACACTTCTACACAGGGGGTATGGACACTTCTACACAGGGGGTATGGACACTTCTACACAGGGGTACACTTCTACACAGGGGGTATGGACACTTCTACACAGGGGGTATGGACACTTCTACACAGGGGGTATGGACACTTCTACACAGGGGGTATGGACACTTCTACACAGGGGTATGGACACTTCTACACAGGGGTAGGACACTTCTACACAGGGATGGACACTTCTACACAGGGGGTATGGACACTTCTACACAGGGGGTATGGACCTTCTACACAGGGGTATGGACACTTCTGCACAGGGGGTATGGACACTTCTGCACAGGGGGTATGGACACTTCTGCACAGGGGTATGGACCTTCACAGGGGGTATGGACCCTTCTACACAGGGGGTATGGACCCTTCTACACAGGGGGTATGGACACTTCTACACAGGGGGTATGGACACTTCTACACAGGGGGTATGGACACTTCTACACAGGGGGTATGGACACTTCTACACAGGGGGTATGGACACTTCTGCACAGGGGCATGGACACTTCTACACAGGGGGTAGGGACACTTCTACACAGGGGGTATGGACACTTCTACACAGGGGGTATGGACCCTTCTACACAGGGGGTATGGACACTTCTGCACAGGGGGTATGGACACTTCTACACAGGGGGTATGGACACTTCTGCACAGGGGCATGGACACTTCTACACAGGGGGTAGGGACACTTCTACACAGGGGGTATGGACACTTCTACACAGGGGGTATGGACCCTTCTGCACAGGGGGTATGGACACTTCTGCACAGGCCTTACTTGACGCCGTAGACCAGGATGACCAGTGCGATGGCGATGCCGATGGCTCCGTCCAGATACCAGACGTCCGGGTGGTTCTTGTAAACTTCGGCACTCATGATGATGGAGAAGCCCACCAGCGCCCCCACCAGGCTGTTGAACCCTACCACACACAGGGACAGGACACTTTATCTGTATAGCACATGAACAGTTTCCATGGCTACACAGAGATAACACATACACGAGAGATACATGAGAGAAGCTAAGAATGAAAACAACATGAAATCAATGGAAGTAGCTAAAAACATACTTCTGACTGGTTTAGAATAGATACAAAAGTACACAAAACAACAGCAGAGAACCACAACTGAAGCAGACACACAACACAAGACACACAGCTGTGAAGGAAACTGAAATCTAGTCAATACATGCTGTAGTTACAGACAGGCGCCACAGGAGGGAGCTCTCATGCTGTAGATGCAGAATCACACAGACGCTGCTTTCAAGTGAAGAGAGAGAGAAAGAACATTCAGCAGAGTGTGTGCCTCTTTAAAGCTCGGGAACGTAACTTTCAGACCACAACAGAACTCTTCTATTGCTTCTATTAGATAAATGAGACTGAAGTTACAGACCTGAGCTTTAAACATGTGTTATTTATGAGACTAAAGTTACAGACCTGAGCTTTAAACATGTGTTATTTATGAGACTAAAGTTACAGACCTGAGCTTTAAACATGTGTTATTTATGAGACTAAAGTTACAGACCTGAGCTTTAAACATGTGTTATTTATTAGACTAAAGTTACAGACCTGAGCTTTAAACACGTTTATTATAGACTAAAGTTATTTATGAGACTAAAGTTACAGACCTGAGCAGACCTGAGCTTTAAACATGTGTGTGTAAGAGTTGGTTACCGTCGGTGACGAGGGCTCGACTCTTCAGGATTCGACCCAAAAAAAACTTGATCAGAGCCAGAAGTGAACAGAGTACTCCACTGAGCACCGACACGCTGAGCAGGAAGTCGTCCTGGAGAAGCAGGCATTTTGGCTCAGTTGGACAGACATTTTGGCTCAGATAAACAGACATTTTGGCTCAGATGGACAGACATTTTGGCTCAGATGAACAGACATTTTGGCTCAGATGGGCAGACATTTTGGCTCAGATGGGCAGACATTTTGGCTCAGATGGGCAGACATTTTGGCTCAGATGAACAGACATTTTGGCTCAGATGGGCAGACATTTTGGCTCAGATGGACAGACATTTTGGCTCAGATGAACAGAATTTTGGCTCAGATGGACAGACATTTTGGCCAGATGACAGACATTTTGGCTCAAGACCCAACAGACGGCCAGATCAGACTTTCTGGCTACAGTTATGAACAGACATTTTGGCTCAGATCAACGGTACAGCGACATTTGGCTCACGAAAAGATTCAGATGCTAATGCAGACATTTTGGCTCAGATGAGAACAGACATTTTGGCTCAGAGAAGACATTTTGAACAGACATTTTGGCTCAGATGCAGACATTTGTAGATGGGCAGACATTTTGGCTCAGATGGACAGACATTTTTGGCTCAGATGAACAGGACATTTTGGCTCAGATGAACAGACATTTGGCTCAGATGGGCAGACATTTTGGCTCAGATGGGACAAGACATTTTGGCTCAGATGAACAGGACATATTTGGCTGCAGCTGGGCGAGACATTATTGGCTCCGGATAGGACAGACTCATTTGGTCCTCCGAAGGGGCAGGACACATCGTTGGCATCAGATGGAAACAGACACTTATATGGCTCAAGTATGGGCAAGACATTTAGGCCCCTCAGAATGGACAGACATTTGGTGCTTCCAGAATGAAACTGGAGACACCTCACCACTTCTGGAAGGATACTCCGGGTGGGATGAGAGGTCATGAACAGATTTGGCTGGACTTTGCAATCAGCACGTGACGGAGTAGGAGTCAGGAGCTGATGAACAGAGGACTCCCAGAACAGGCCAGGGGGCACTCCTGTAGGGAGGAGTAGGGGGAGAGGGAGAGGAGGAGAGGAGGAGAGAAGGATAGAGGAAAGTAGAGGAAGAGAGGAGGAAGTGGGAGGAGAGGGGAAAGAAAGAAAGAGGGAGGATCAGAGCAGTGAGGATCGAGCGGACGGAGGGGGGAAGGGGCAGGAGGACAGAGGAAGGAAAGGAGCGGAGCAGCGGCGAGAGAGGAGCGATGGAGAGAGGAAACTAGAAAAATCCACCCCCACAGAAGCAACATAGCAGCAGTGCTTAGCAGCCAGCAGTTTCGAGCCTAGCAAGTGTAGCAGTAGTATAGTTAGCGAGGTAAAGCCCTAGTAGTAGCAGTCATGCCTGAGTCAAGTTTAAGAAGACAGTTCAGTGTGAGCAGATAAGCAGCCAGTCCAGTAGCGTAAGCAGTAGCAGTAGAGCAGTAAAAGTAGCCAGCAGTTAGTAGAAGCCAAGTAGCCGACGTAAGCAGTTAGCCAGACTAAGCTAGCAGTAATGGCAGTTAGCCAGTAGAGTTATAGCAGTATTCAAAAAAAGTAGTAGCGAGTAAAGGCAGATACGAAATAGTCAGAAGATATTGCTAAGTAAAGAAGAGCCTGAATAGTAGCAGTATACCCAGTAGAGCAGTAGCAGTAGCAAGCTACAGTTAGCAAGTAGCCAGTATGCGGCAACCAGTAAGCAGATAGCAGCAGTTTGTCAGTAGCAGAAGCAGCATGCAGCAAGTGTACGTAGCAAGAATGCCTAGAGCAGTAATAGGTAAGCGCAGTAGTAGCATAGTAGCCAAAGTTGAGCAACAGTTTGTAGCAGCAGGAGCAGCAGGTAGCAGAGTAAGTAGTATAAGTTTTAGCAGTAGCTGCTCAGCGAAGCCAGCAGTCGAGTAGCAGTAGCTCAGCAGCAGCCAAGTAGTAGAAGCCCACAGTAAGTAGCCAGTCGCAGTCGCCGTAGCAGCAGTAGCAGTAGCAGCAGTATAGCAGTAAGCAAGTTAGAAGCAGAGTAGCTAGTATGAGTAGTGTAGCACGTCAGTGCAGTAAGCTAGTCAAGTAAAGTTAGCGCATTAGAGTTTAGCAAGTTTTTTAGTATAGTCTAGCAGTAGTTTAGCAGAGTTTTGAGCAGTTAAAGTAGTGTAAGCAAGTAGCGCAGTAGCAGTCCATGAGTAGCACAGTCATCATGGTAGCAGTTAAGCTGCAGGCATTAAGTACGGCTCAGTAGCATTATTAGCCGTAGTTAGCAGTTGAAACGTAAGCAGGCGTCTGTGAAGTAGGCAGTAGCAGTAGTTGCAGTAGTATAAGTAGCGTAAGCAAGTTCAAGCAGTTATAGTAAGTAGAGCTTATAGCAGCGAGGTTAAGTAGCAGTAGTAGTAGCCGTAGTAGTAGCCGTCGCAGCGGAGCAAAGCATAGTTGCGTTATAGTAAGCAGTGATAGCAGCTTCGCTAAGCTAGCAGCAGTAGCAGTAGCAGCAAAGTCGAGTCGATAGCTAGTAGCCTAGTAGCTGTGAGAAGTAGGCGAGTTGCCAAGCAGTTATAGCATGTGAAGCAGCAGTAGCAGTGAAGTTAGCGAGTCGTTAAGCTGTTTATAGCCCGAGAGCAGTCGCAAAGGAAGATAAGCCTTAGCAGCCGTGGCCGTCGTAAGCAAAAGCTAAGCAGCCGCATAGTATTAAAGTAGTAGTATATGAGCGTGTGAGTTGGGTAGCGTCGTAGCGGGAAGGTTTTGAAGCGTTGTTTGACGAGTGACAGTGGCTAGCTTAGCTGGAGAGGTCAGCAGTAGTGAAGAGCACCAGTTGCGGAAATAGCCCCGCGAGTCAAGCAGTAGTCTTAAGTATTGCAGCAGTGTTCAGTCGCAGTAAGCAGTATAGTCCAAACTCGTAGCAGTAATAGTAGCAGTTAGCAAAGCAGCTAGTTAGGCGTCAGTAGCAGTCAGTTAAGAAGTTTAGCAAGATAGATAAGTAGCAGTAGCTCGTTTAGCAGTCGCATCAGTAGCAGCAGTTTAGCAGTGGCAGTGAAAAAAGTTTTAGCAGTTAGCAGTAGCGTTCAGCAGCTCTATGAGATGCAGTAGTTAATATTGCTAAGTAACATGCGTCGCAAGAATCCCGAGCTAATCATAACTCCTCGCCTATCATACCCCCCCCCCCCCCCCCCTCCCCCCCCCCCCCCACCCCACCCCCCCACCCCCCCCCCCCCCCCCCCCCCCACCCCCCCCCCCCCCCATAAGTATCAAGTAGCAGCACAGCAGCAGTAAGTAGCTCGAAAGTTAGAATATAGCGCAGTTCACACTAAAGCTAGAGTAGCAGTCAGTAGCTAGTAGCAGTAGCACGCCAAGCAGTTAGCAGGTAGCAGTTAAAGTGAGCGCTAGTATGTTAGAGTAGTGAGTAGTTAAGGTTAGGCGAGCATAAGCAGTTTTAGTGCTCAGTAGCAGTAGCAGCAGTAGCTGTAGCCTCAATGTTGTCTCTGATGTGGAGGAGTAAACAGCTGCTGCGGCTGCTGTATCTCCAAAGTCGATTGAACGCGAAGGAAAAGAAAAAAAAAAAAAAAAACATCCAGACATCGAACGAACTGAAAACCATCAAAAGATTTCATATGTAACTATGACATCACTAGAGGTTATGAAATCACAGGGTTTATGACTCACAGGGTTATGACATCACAGGGGGTAATGTTACTATCGACATCACAGGGTTTTGAATCACAAGGTTATTATGACATCACTGGGTTATGACATCACAGGGGTCTATGACATCACAGGAGAGGGGTTATATGACATCACAGTCAGGGTTATGACAATACAGGGGTATGACAACACAGGGTTTTTATGGACTTCACCGGGGTTTATGAATCTAAGGGTTATGACATCACAGACTGACCCCAAAACCGAAGGCTGACGAGCTGTGCATGCGAAGAGATTAGGAACGTCACCAAGCATGTAACACACAACACACACATTTTTTGGTGACACAAATAGTTCTCTCTCTCTGGTCTCTCTCTGGTCTCTCTCTGGTCTCTCTCTCTGGTCTCTCTCTCTGGTCTCTCTCTGGTCTCTCTCTGGTCTCTCTCTCTGGTCTCTCTCTCTGGTCTCTCTCTGGTCTCTCTCTGGTCTCTCTGGTCTCTCTCTGGTCTCTCTCTGGTCTCTCTCTGGTCTCTCTCTGGTCTCTCTCTGGTCTCTCTCTGGTCTCTCTCTGGTCTCTCTCTGGTCTCTCTTCTGGTCTCTCTCTGGTCTCTCTCTGGTCTCTCTCTCTGGTCTCTCTCTGGTCTCTCTCTGGTCTCTCTCTGGTCTCTCTCTGGTCTCTCTCTGGTCTCTCTCTCTGGTCTCTCTCTCTCTGGTCTCTCTCTGGTCTCTCTCTCTGGTCTCTCTCTGGTCTCTCTCTGGTCTCTCTCTGGTCTCTCTCTGGTCTCTCTCTGGTCTCTCTCTGGTCTCTCTTGGTCTCTCTCTGGTGGTCTCTCTCTGGTCTCTCTCTGGTCTCTCTCTGGTCTCTCTCTGGTCTCTCTCTGGTCTCTCTCTGGTCTCTCTCTCTGGTCTCTCTCTGGTCTCTCTCTGGTCTCTCTCTCTGGTCTCTCTCTGGTCTCTCTCTCTGGTCTCTCTCTGGTCTCTCTCTCTGGTCTCTCTCTGGTCTCTCCTCTGGTCTCTCTCTGGTCTCTCTCTGGTCTCTCTCTGGTCTCTCTCTGGTCTCTCTCTGGTCTCTCTCTGGTCTCTCTCTGGTCTCTCTCTCTGGTCTCTCTCTGCGTCTCTCTCTGGTCTCTCTCTCTGGTCTCTCTCTGGTCTCTCTCTCTGGTCTCTCTCTGGTCTCTCTCTGGTCTCTCTCTGGTCTCTCTCTGGTCTCTCTCTCTGGTCTCTCTCTGGTCTCTCTCTGGTCTCTCTCTGGTCTCTCTCTGGTCTCTCTCTGGTCTCTCTCTGGTCTCTCTCTGGTCTCTCTCTGGTCTCTCTCTGGTCTCTCTCTGGTCTCTCTCTGGTCTCTCTCTGGTCTCTCTCTGGTCTCTCTCTGGTCTCTCTCTGGTCTCTCTCTGGTCTCTCTCTCTGGTCTCTCTCTGGTCTCTCTCTGGTCTCTCTCTCTCTGGTCTCTCTCTGGTCTCTCTCTCTGGTCTCTCTCTGGTCTCTCTCTGGTCTCTCTCTGGTCTCTCTCTGGTCTCTCTCTCTGGTCTCTCTCTCTGGTCTCTCTCTGGTCTCTCTCTGGTCTCTCTCTGGTCTCTCTCTGGTCTCTCTCTGGTCTCTCTCTGGTCTCTCTCTGGTCTCTCTCTGGTCTCTCTCTCTGGTCTCTCTCTGGTCTCTCTCTCTGGTCTCTCTCTGGTCTCTCTCTCTGGTCTCTCTCTGGTCTCTCTCTGGTCTCTCTCTGGTCTCTCTCTGGTCTCTCTCTGGTCTCTCTTGGTCTCTCTCTCTGGTCTCTCTCTCTGGTCTCTCTCTGGTCTCTCTCTGGTCTCTCTCTGGTCTCTCTCTGGTCTCTCTCTCTGGTGTCTCTCATCCTCGGTTCTCTCTCCTGGTTCTCTCTCTGGGTCTCTCTTGGCTGCGTCTCTCTTCTGGTCATCGCTCTGGCTCTCTCTCTCCCGGTGTCATAGCTGTGTTCACACGTTTCGAGTCCTCGATGCAACCTGGGCTTGGTATATTTATATCCTCATTATGTCAGACAAATTCACTGATATCGCCCCATTTCCTCAGAGGCTTGTGGACCTGATCGGATACGGTCTTGGTCCTGTTTGCAGGTTCTGCGTCGCAGCCATCTGAGGTATTTCATCGCGTACTCACTTGAAGGCACTCAGAGACACAACACAAGTGCGTTCGAGCACCACACTGACCATCCAGACACACACAGAGCTCTCTCCTCCATTGTTAGCTTTTCCGATCGACTTCTGGTGAAGACGGAGCGAGGCTTTGCGAGGAGGAGTAGATGGAATTGAGGAGGAGGAGTACGGATGTGTAGGAGCTAGCAGAGCCGATGGAGAATTAAGGAGGTAAGCCAGAGGTGCAACGAGGTCAGGAGGGTGGAGGGGGGGAGGGGAGGAGAAGGAGGCCGATGGGGAGGAGGAGGCGAGGAAGGAGGAGGGGAGGGAGGGGAAGAGGAGGAGGGGGGGGGGGGGGTGTGGGGGGGGGGGAGATCAGGGGTTAGTAAGCGTTATGGTAATAGCCAGCAGGTGGGAGCTGAGGAGGAAGTGACCGGAGTGTAGGAGGGAGACGGGAAGTGATGGAGGAGAGAGGAATGCAATGAGGGGTGGATTGGAGGGTTGAGTGATGTCGTTATCTCCGGGAAAAGGAGTCAGGCGGGGGGGGATCCTGATAGCATGTGAATTGTTCGTGGGTGGTATCCCTCGAGTGCTGTGAGCCTGTTGGGCATGTGTCGGCGGAAGGTGCTGCCACGCGTCGATGGTGCTTTGGGGGGGAGATTGGGTAGAGCCAGGTGCCGTTCAGAAATCGTCTAGTGGTATTAAGGTGGCTGCAGAGCAAGGAAGGCCATTTCTTCATATCGTGATGTGGGGAGGATGAACTTTAGTCAACACCCAAATTGAACAAGTATGGTGTGTGTGTCTGAATGGATTGTCGTTGATGGCACCTACTTGTTTGCCTCGTCCAATAATTAAAGCGTCTTTGAGTGTACAAAAAGCAGTATATAAAACTGATGCACTACTATTATTACTATTAATAAAACGCATGATAGCCATTGTTCCATAGAGAGCGCGATAACCACTGCCCATAAATGTCCAGGATCTTCACTGTCCTCTGACTCTCTCGCTCACAAACTATTACTTTCTATTGGTCAAACATGTTATTTATGAAGCAAAAAGTTGCATGTGCTAGCTTTTAAGAGAGCTCATGCTAACACCAGCTCCGGATCATGTTTGCTGCGGTGACGTATTTGTTTAGTCGGCCGCCTAAATGAGCCTGAACCGTCTTGCGGTGTGGTCCTCAACGTGTCTTTACGAAGAGATTGTCTGGCTTCTGTTTCGCTTCGACACACGACGCACGCTTTCTGCCAGTCACTTCCAGGCAGCCCAAGACACAATAAACAACCTTTATTCCCCCCTCCTTTCTCCATCCCGGGCTGAACGCTTGATCCGGAGCAGAAAGCATGCCAGCAAACTTCCCTTCGGGCCCTTCGCAGAGAGAAGCCAGGCCCAAACAAACAGGAACTCTTAGCTTACACGTGCAATCCGTACACCTGCTTAGCGTTAGCATAGGTTAGCGCTGGCATGGGCGCTTCCTCGGAGGGATGGAAGAGCACGGATTTGGAGTAAATTAAGTGGAAAGTTCGAGTGGGGACATACTTTGACGACGTGAAGAAAATATACAAAAGAGTTTAGGGGACGCAATGGTAACGCTTGCTGACAAGGAGATGTAAACGCAGTGTCTGTTTGAGGAAGTTTGAGCTTCTAAAATGTGCCATGGTAAGCTTGTATACTGGGGCAAGAGAAAAAACAAAAGATTTTATAATGTAGTTTAAGATAATGTCATATTTGTGGCTTGAATGAACACCATCATTTCCTCTTTTTGGACTATTTAGTTATGACAAGGCCAGGCAAGTTTATTTGTACCACATTTCATACACAAACTCAAAGTGCTTGGCAAAACAAGTTAGAATAATCACACACAGCATTAAAATTCTAAATAATAAGCGCATACAAAGAGTAAAGATACATTCCTTCAGTTGTTACAGCAAAACAGAACTTTTTTAACCTGGATTTGTAAGTTGACAGAGTAGAAGCCTGTATCATATTTTCAGGAAGACTGTTCCAGATTTTAGATACACTAATAAACACATACATACTTGAATTGAGTAATTTTATCTTAATTTCACACTTATAGCTTGTTTACACGCAAGGACAATTTTTTTTTTTTTTTGGTGCAAAGTCTTATAATGTCAAATAAACATTTTACACAGTTTCAAATGATACTGTGAACAGAATGTCCTCTTCTGACCCTGATCAGAAATCTCCATCCCCAGTTCTTTGCAGAGTGTGTTTCCCTTCAACATCTATAACAGCTTGGAGTCTTTTGTCATAGACTTTAGGGCTGCACGATAATGGAAATTAGAGCGATATTTGATATGAGTGTTTAGTATTGCGATAATAATAATATTGCAATAATTTTTTCTTTCACCTAAAATTGCAATCTGCATTGAAACGCAAGAGACAATAACAAAAACCTTAATGACATTCAAATGCATATATTTATAGATTTTTTATTTGTCGGGAAAACCTGCTAAGAACCTTCCTTTGCTTTGTATTTGTTGAATGTTGATGTGTCTGTCTGTTTTGTTGTCTTAATCGCGCATATTTTTTGATATGGATATGGAAATCAATATTTTTTCGCCCTAATAGACAAGTTTTAACAAGTCTTGAGATTACCGCGAGATCATATCTGCAACAGCGCCCTCTCTCGGACCGTACCCCCTGCTTGAGAACCCCTCTCTCCCAGTGCGTGATGACGTGACTGCGTGCTGACGGCGCTGAAGGCAAAGGCAGCTTTAGGATTGCTTTTGGAGATTAACAGAATTAAAGAAATATTTGAACATAAATTATCTCTTCTGAATCTGGAGCGAGCCTATTGAAAGATGTGTTTGTGGCGCCACCTGCACGTTAAAGCCTGGTACTGAAGCTCAGCAGGGCAGGGCTGTTGTGTCCTTTGGCAAGACACTTCACCCACATGCAGTCTGGTGTGTGAGACCCGGGCCTCTGTCAGAGAGAGAGAGAGAGAGAGAGAGAGAGACACAGACACCTGTTGCTACAGTTCTACATGTGTGATGTTAAAGTTTATAAAAACAAAGACCAGAAAACTTGTATCTCATAAACACAAACTCTTTATTTTCAAAATCAAATATTACAAAAATGTCAGTCACGTCACAACGCATCATCACAACGGAACCAGTTTGACAACAGAGTATTTAGACAGAAGGGGTGGGGGGTTGTCCCGGATGTCAGTGTGGATGAAGGTAAACAGCCTCAGTCCTGGGTCTACAGCCTCAGCTCTGGATCTACAGCCTCAGTCCTGGGTCTACAGCCTCAGTCCTGGGTCTACAGCCTCAGTCCTGGGTCTACAGCCTCAGTCCTGGGTCTACAGCCTCAGTCCTGGGTCTACAGCCTCAGCTCTGGATCTACAGCCTCAGTCCTGGGTCTACAGCCTCAGTCCTGGGTCTACAGCCTCAGTCCTGGGTCTACAGCCTCAGCTCTGGATCTACAGCCTCAGTCCTGGGTCTACAGCCTCAGTCCTGGGTCTACCGCCTCAGTCCTAGGTCTACAGCCTCAGTCCTGGGTCTACAGCCTCAGCTCTGGATCTACAGCCTCAGTCCTGGGTCTACAGCCTCCTGAGGCTTTCCACTTTTTTCAAAAAAGAAGCAGAAGGTCTGGTCTGGGACCAGGCACTGGACCAGGTTCAGGCCAAAGAGTTCAGTGCAGAGAAGTCCAGAACCTCTGCATGAGAGCGGAGACATGGATCCAGGACGCCATAACGACAGGGAGACTGAGAGGACATGTAGGACACAGAGGGACTGTGTCTCTCAGCTGGGAACGCCTCATTTATGAGACTAAAGTTACAGACCTGAGCTTTAAACATGTGTTATTTATGAGACTAAAGTTACAGACCTGAGCTTTAAACATGTGTTATTTATGAGACTAAAGTTACAGACCTGAGCTTTAAACGTGTGTTATTTATGAGACTAAAGTTAGACCTCATTGAGTGGTAGGTCAGTCCCGGTCCGCGTCTTAAAAACAGCCGATGATCGCTCAGAGGACGTCCATGCTGCTCCCGTAAACTGTCCGCACGGCCGTGTAGCAGCGGCTTTACGACAGCTGTGTTTGCGACAGTCATGTGTAGTCCACTTTATTGGTATAGAACATACAGTCTAAGTGTAGAACACACGCACGCACGCACACACACGCTCACACACACACACACACACGTTTTTGTTACCTGGTGGGTCCCTTTGACAGGGCCGTTCAGAATGGGACCCATAGACATAATCTTTTTTTACTGGGACTACTTTAAGTAATACAAAACAGTCAATAGAAAACAAACAACTCTTTTAAAGGAATTTTATTTTAGATTTTTTTTTCGAATTGCAGTGATTCTATTTTTGACATAGAATTTAATGCCACTCCATGTCCGATGTCTAAGGTCATCTGGTGAGGCATTAATGCAGGCCAGGCAGTGAGACTTCCCAGGGACCTTTCCAGTCTGTATGAAAGGTGTCATGGTCTTCTCCACAGCCTTCACCTCAGATGCAGACCATGGCTTTCTCTAACGTTCTAGGGAGAGAAATAAAAATATATTAGCAATATACACTCCCAGGGTTAGGACCAAGCAGCCTGGCTGTAATCCCCCACCTGGTACACTTACCAGAAGGGGCACTGCCACTACCATGGGGTGCATCTGGATGAATGGTTGAAGGTTCTCCGCTTGAAGTTTCTTTTCGCCCGTCCGTTTGTGAGAGGATCTCTACTGCTCTCCCTGTCGCACAGAAAATAAAAATACAAGTGGCCTTTAGGGGAAAAAAATCATACATATTTTAATAATATCAAGAATTACCTTCAGGCTCAATTTGTATCTGGTCGAGGCCCTTTCCTTCGAATTCCGTCACTCTTCCCTGCTCCATGGCCATCAACACTTTGCTGATTTTGGCCAGCTCCAGTGTCCCCTCTGGTAGTCTGTAATATTGCCTGTGGATGCGAATGTCATGGCCGAGGAAGTTGGCAAGTATGTCCATCTCATTCTCTTTCATATTGAGAACTGTAGACATAGTAGCTATGTGCTTTCTAAGTTTGGTTGAGGATAGCATCTCTGGATGCACCGCACCACATTCTTTGGCTACCTGGCGTAGGGAGTCTGATCCCCTGATGTGGGTGTCTGCGCCCGGGCGGGAAAAGAAGTATGGGTTATGGTCAGAGATGGAACAGGCCCTTCTGTTCTCCACCAGCACCTCCATCCAAGCAATCATTTCAGGAGTCAAAAGAACCGGTACTTTCCCACTTCTTTTCCATTTAATTTCAATGCGTTGAAAATGCTGACACAGCTTTTTCTCAAGTTGGGACAGTCCCAGAGCAATGTCAGAATGGATCCCAGTCTTACTTCTTAAGGTAAAGGCTGTCAGTGGCATCTTTGAAACCTCACCTTCCCTTCTTCGATTGAAAATGATGACCTCACAAAGAGTCAAAACTGCCAGTTTAGACCAATGCTTAGACGTTGGCTCACTTATTAGGGTTTGCACATATTCAGGTCGACATACCTCAATATGTGCATGCATGGCTCTAACGTCCTCAGTCAGAGGGAGCAGGTCCGGAGTGTTCCACTTGGCTTGCCGGAGGGTCTGTAGGGCAGCAGAAGAAACACAGACGTCCCACCTCTTCTCAAAAAGCAGCCGGCTTCGTTGGAGGTTTTTAATAAATAGTTCATCAACACAATGCTCCATTTTTGAGTCACATTCAAGAATATCTGCTAGCTTTCTGAGGCTATGGCCGAGTTTGAGGGCCAAGGATGGAGTCTTGTATTGATTTGTTTCCTCATCATATCCAGCCACAGACCTGACTGCATCAATCACATGGTTAAAGTTGGAAGGAATAAAGAAATCCTTCATTGTTTTCAGTTTCCCTGCAGTTTTTGCTTCGTTAATTAACCTACCGACTTCTCTCATTTTCTGCCTAATGTAATCATGCTTAGTCTTATCATGCCCGTGTTTTAAGTACAGGTGCTCTCCGAGTCTCAGAATCCCCTTTTCTGCTTTGACAACACCCGTGACCTCATCCTGATGCATTGCCGAAATTAAAGACCACAGCTTTTTGCTGATGCCCTCCGGTACAGGCTGGGCTAGGGAGCAGAGGGACTGGACCCTACTTCTACCTGGTTTAGCCTGGTTTAGCCTGGGCATCTTTCTGTGAAAGCCGGCACCTGGCCACATGCCTCCACAGCGACTTTCGCTTAAGCAATGCCCCACAGTCTATACAGTGCAAAAACTCACTGGATTTAACTGGGCAATTTGGCTGTTTAGCTGGGACTAAAGTTCCAATGCCGGCCTTTAAAACCTCAAAATTGTGCTCACGGTTTCCACTATTCCTGATCAAATCAAACTGAAGTTTACGTGCTTTAGATTTCACAGGTAGAGCCAATGCTCTGGCTACGTCACTTTCATTTCCATGTTTTCTAGTCCAGTGTTTTTCAACCACTGTGCCGCGGCACACTAGTGTGCCGTATGATATTGTCTGGTGTGCCGTGAGAAATTCGTCTACTTTGTCTAAAAATAACTGCATTCGCTGTTGACGAGCGGTGACTTGTTTTGAACTGTGGAGTAACCATGTAATACTTTTTCAAATCAGTAGATGGCAGCAGATAGCTAAGTACTTTGAAACTGAAAAATTGGATGCGACCACTGGCTACAGGTCAGCATTGTGGCGAGAAAGGTAAAATTGGATGCGACCAACAAATGTGTGAGGGAGCGAGACAAGAGCTTTGTGGCGAGTGAGAAGTGAAAGTGATAGAGACGTTTTTGAAAATGAATTATGCCGTTTCTGAACAGGATTAACATCCTCCGCTCTGCCCCGGGGCAGCTGTGGCCGCGTTGTAGTGGTTTAACTATGAAATGTACAATCGCGAACGCACTTCTGAACTGGGTACCGAGCGCAGACCATAGTCGAGTGGACAGAACCACAGACATGCGGACCGGACAGAACCATAGACATGCGGACCGGACAGAACCATGGACTCGCGTTCAGGACCTCCCGTGTCCCTCATCCAAAACTCCTGAATTTAAAGCTCGGATACCTAAATTTTTCCCATGCACTAACAATGCATGTTCTTTGTGTGAGTTATTTGACTATTTGGGCAGAGAGTGGATTTTCTTAGTTTTTTTCCACACAGTTAGTGCCACTTTATTCCCAAACTCTTGTTAATTGTATCGAGAAATATTAAATAAAGCTTAATGTCAAGGCCTGGACTTAAGCATTTTGATGAGAATAACTGTATATTGTGAATATAGGCTACAGAGTATACTGTATACATTATAAGATAAGATAAGATATACTTTATATATCACACAGAGTATGTACAGTATATATTTTTACATTAGTACTGTATACATTTTTACGTTTTCTCCTGGAGGTGTGCCGCAAGATTTTTTCAGTCAAAAAAGTGTGCCTTGGCTCAAAAAAGGTTGAAAAACACTGTTCTAGTCAAATGACGGGACATTTTGTGGCAGGACATTGAACAGTAGAGGCAGAAGTGTCTCTTGCTATAAACCCTGCCCCCATTTTTCTTCTTTTGCAGCTGCATGATAACAATCTTATTTGCCTTTGGTTCGTCACTTTCTGAGTCTTGAAGAAAAGTGTTTTTGATTTTTCTTTTTCCATACTTTTTTACAGGTTTCTTCTTGACAGTTAAATCGTCAGAATCTGAGTCGACTTCATCAATTAGGGGCTCTTGACTAAGCTGCACAAACAACAAATAATTTGTAATAATTCTATATAACAATTTGAAGTCATGACTTGTAGTCAGCACTTACCAGTGGTTTGTAAGCGTGCGCTTCAGTGTGCTGCTCTGTGATTGGCTGCAGCCTAATGAACCACACACTTGCACCTTTTCACCTGACTTCCTCTGTTGTGCTGCTCCATGATTGGCTCCAGCCTGCTGGACTGAAATTGCCCCAGTGTGCCCCTCCCTGATATCCCGCAACCCACCACCAGGGTTCCGACACATAACACACTTTTTTCAGGAAAGTAAACCTCCAGGGGTCCTTTCCATATTTTTACAGAGACTGCATAAGGACCGTTAGAAAAGCATTACCCATTGATTATTAAGCTTGGACCAGTGGGGTCCGGTGTTCGGGCCCCACCACGTAAAACCAGTCCCCATGACGTGAGTGGAATCTCAGGTTATGGAACCCACCAGGAGTTGAAAACAAGTGCACACACACACACACACACACACACACACTAGTAATGTACCAATAACACAACATATAACTACTTTTATCAAAATAAATGTCAAAACAGTAATAATTATAATAATAATCAAATATGAATCAATAAAAGTGTTTGTTCAGTTTTATTCTGTGCTCTGTGTCTTTAAGGCGGATCACAACTTCACACGCAGTTTCCATGACAACAAGGACAGATGATGACACACACGCACACACATACACACACGCACACGCACACACATACACACGCACATACATACACACACGCACACACATACACACACGCACACACATACACACACGCAAACACACACACACAAAAACACACGCACACACAAAGGTCTAAAGCAGGTCTAAAGCAGGACTAAAGCAGGTCTAAAGTAGGTCTAAATGAGGTCTATAGTAGGTCTAAAGCAGGTCTAAAGCAGGTCTAAAGTAGGTCTAAAGCAGGTCTAAAGCAGGTCTATAGTAGGTCTAAAGTAGGTCTAAAGCAGGTCTAAAGTAGGTAAGTAAGTAAGTAAGTAAGCTTTATTTATATACCGCCTTTCACAGACCAGAGTCACAAAGCAGTTTACAATTGTTATTTTTTGAGCACTTGTCCTCTCACTCCACACAGAGATGGGAGCGGGGTCGCCGAACAGGAGGCGCATGCCATACCTATTGTACATATTTTTAGTGGCAGGGGAAACCGGAGTACCCGGAGGAAACCTACGCAGACACGGGGAGAACATGCAAACTCCACTCAGAAAGGCCCTGGTCCGGCCGGGATTCGAACCCAGGACCTTCTTGCTGAGAGGCGAGAGTGCTATCCACTCAGCCACCGTGCCGCCCTCAGGTCTAAACCAGGTCTAAAGCGGGACAAAAGCAGGACTAAAGCAGATCTAAAGCAGATCTAAAGCAGGACTAGAACAGGTCTGAAGCAGGTTTATGGCAGCGCTAAAACTGGACTAAATCCGTTCTGTCCCTTTAAGCGCAACGCGTTGGTCGCGTCGCGGCGCGTCACGGGAGCGTCTCTTCCGTTTGATCGCTCCTGGACCGCTCGTCGCCTCCAGTGGACCCCAGTCCCCGGTAGACCCTCGTGAGGCCCCCGTGAGGTCCCCGTGAGGCCTCCATGAGGCCACACACACCACGGGTCTCTGCTCCGCTTCTCCCCGTGCAGCGCGCCTTGTTTTCGGACAGATGTGAAGCGATGTGAGCCTCCGCCTTCTGACGTTACCGTGAGTCCCACATAACGGAGAAGGAGCGAGCAATTTAGTCCTGCTTTAGACCTGCTTTAGACCTGCTTTAGACCTGCTTTAGACCTCCTTTAGACCAGCTTTAGTCCTGCTTTAGACTTGCTCTAGTCCTGCTTGAGAACTGCTTTAGACCTGCTTAAACACACACACATACACACACATATACACATACACACACATACACGCACACATACACACACACACACATACATACACACACACACACACATACACACTCACACACACACACAGTCTTGCCTTAGGACACAACAACAGTTTTTCACTACAACCACAGCTGGTGTCTCCCATCACAGAATGAACCAGGCCATGTCCTGCTTAGCTCCTGAAATATGACAGGATCAGTCTTAAGGGCAGATCTCCATGGAAACAGGCTCATCTTGAGATTGAAAGTTTTGCCCCTTCCTCTTTACAGAACAGCTGTCGGACTGGGCTATTCTGGTCCACCTCCCACCAGCTCTGCCACTCGCTCCTGTCCCTGCGGAAGAAAAGCAGCTACAAATATAGAAAAATAATACTGCTTTGGAGCCACAGGATTTTATGCAAGTTCTTCTGGTTCAGACCTGGCTCAGACCAGGACAGGACCAGGTCTGAACCGGGTCTGGACCAGGACTGAACAAGGACTGAACCAGGACTGCACCAGGTCTGGTTGAGTCCTATGTTTTGTGGCTGTTTGTTTCAGAGGAAGGAAGTGTCCTTTTCCCGTCTTTGTTCCAGCCCAGTGCGTCAGATGCCCTCCCGGTGTCATCAGATATTAAAGCTGGGGTCTGTAACTTTGGTCTCATAAATAACAGATGTTTAAAGCTCAGGTCTGTAACTTTGGTCTCATAAATAACAGATGTTTAAAGCTCAGGTCTGTAACTTTGGTCTCATAAATAACAGATGTTTAAAGCTCAGGTCTGTAACTTTGGTCTCATAAATAACACATGTTTAAAACTGAGGTCGGTAACTTTAAGCTCCTAAATAACACATATAGTTTGTCCAACAGACTGTCTTCATCTCATTAGAAAACATCTTTAGTGTCAGAAAGTCTCTATCTGCCTCTTTGGGCTGAGAGCTGATTGGCTGAGAGCTGATTGGCTGAGAGAGGGAGGTCCTCTCTTTGATCTAAAGATGTGACAGAGACAGAAACACATGAAACTAGAAACAGAAGCAACTGTTTTAGAGCCAGAACCAGAGACATGGGTTTTATACAGAGTTACAAAACCCAGCTTTATTATTATTATTATTATTATTATCTTTATTTATCAGACTCGAAGTCCATAAAAAACAAACAAACACATCACAAACACAACAGACAAACAGTTATAAAAGAAAACTGTACCAGAGCTTCCACAGAGCAAGCTTTAAAGTTACAGACCCCAGCTTTAAAGTTTCGTAACCCAGTTTCAATGCTATCTGCCTAAAACAATTAAAAGTGAATATTTTCTCCCCGCAGTATCAGCGTCCGGATGTGTGTTTCGGGCTAGGGTTTCCTGGCCACACCTCCTCAGACTCACGTGCCTGGCCACGCCCCCTCGGACACACGTGCCTGGCCTCGCCCCCTCGGACAAACGCGCTTGGCCACTCCCCCTCAGACCCACACGCCTGGCCACGCCCCCTCGGACACACGCGCCTGGCCATACCCCCTCGGACACACGCGCCTGGCCTCGCCCCCTCGGACAAACGCGCTTGGCCACGCCCCCTCAGACCCACACACCTGGCCACGCCCCCTCGGACACACGCGCCTGGCCACACCCCTTCAGACACACGCACCTGGCCACGCCCCCTCGAACATGGCCTCGGCCGCGGTGCCCAGCGAGGACCTGCCCACCTACAAGCTGGTGGTGGTGGGGGACGGGGGGGTGGGGAAGAGCGCCCTCACCATACAGTTCTTCCAGAAGATCTTTGTCCCGGACTACGACCCGACCATCGAGGACTCGTACCTCAAACACACGGAGATCGACGGGAGCTGGGCCATCCTGGACGGTAAATACACAAATACACAACCACACAACACAACAATAACAACACATGTCCTCAGTTCTAGTTCATCCCAGGCCCCAATGGGATCCTGTGTTTAGATATGAGCCATATAAGGACTGACCAATCAGAGGCTTTCATTCACAGGGAAACCATCTTACCTTAGCAACCGTCTTAGCAACACGTCTGCCCCTGTTACGGCACGAAGCTAGCCCTGTCAGAACAAATGCCCATATAAGGAAACTGGCTCCTGCTTATGTCCATATCAGCTTCTTCTGCACTGAAGCTAACTGCTAATTTACACAGGAGGCGTTACAGAACGTACGCGTTGTACGCGCCACAGCCGCGCGTAACATTTTCCCATGTAAACCAATGGTGATATTTACACTAGAGTTATACAAACGTTTGAAGGATGTATGACGCGAGGCTGCGCCTAATTTAGGATGGATTTCTAATTTTATGTGCACAGCAACGCTCCCAGTCAAAATGCATGGAAAACATGATTTTTCTAGCCCACACGCACGCAAGCATGAGCAGCAGGTTTAGCAGTGATTCTGGACATCGTTTTTTTTTTCCTTCATAAAGTCTGGCGTCTGGCCAGACCAGCGCACGGAGACCATGAAGACAAACACATGCATGTGTTAGCTCTACATCAGTCCTCTGTACTGTCCTCTACAGACTGCACAGGAAGAGCATCAGGACCTGCACACGGCCAGAGGACATGTCCCGTCATGTTACGCACATATGCACCCAGTCAACGCTTACGCGCTTTTAACGCCTACTGTGGTGATGTCACACTGTGGTGATGTCACACTGTGGTGATGTCACTCTGTGGTGATGTCACACTGTGGTGATGTCACACTGTGGTGATGTCACTCTGTGGTGATGTCACACTGTGGTGATGTCACACTGTGGTGATGTCACACTGTGGTGATGTCACTCTGTGGTGATGTCACACTGTGGTGATGTCACACTGTGGTGATGTCACACTGTGGTGATGTCACTCTGTGGTGATGTCACTCTGTGGTGATGTCACTCTGTGGTGATGTCACACTGTGGTGATGTCACACTGTGGTGATGTCACTCTGTGGTGATGTCACACTGTGGTGATGTCACACTGTGGTGATGTCACACTGTGGTGATGTCACACTGTGGTGATGTCACTCTGTGATGATGTCACTCTGTGGTGATGTCACACTGTGGTGATGTCACACTGTGGTGATGTCACTCTGTGATGATGTCACTCTGTGGTGATGTCACACTGTGGTGATGTCACACTGTGGTGATACACAGACCTGATATGCAGCACTACAGCACAGCGCCCCCACATGGACACTACAGACATTTTACATCTATGTGCTCTCACTCTGTGTTCTCCTCATCTCACTCTCCCTCTCTCCCCCATCTCTCATATCCTCTCCCCCCTGCCTCCCCCCTCTCCCCCTCAGTCCTGGACACAGCGGGGCAGGAGGAGTTCAGTGCGATGAGGGAGCAGTACATGAGAACAGGAGACGGTTTCCTCATCGTCTTCTCTGTGACCGACCGAGCCAGTTTCCAACATGTGGACCGCTTCCACCAACTCATCCTGAGAGTCAAGGACCGGTACTAGCTAACGCTAAAGCTAACACTAGAGCTAACACTACATCCGACACTAGAGCCGACACTAGAGCTAACGCTAAAGCTAACACTAGAGCTGACACTAGAGCTAACACTAGAGCTGACACTAGAGCTGACACTAGAGCTAACGCTAGAGCTAACACTAGAGCTCATGGCTAACGCTAGAGCGAATGCTAGAGCTGACACTAGAGCTAACACTAGAGCTAACACTAGAGCTGACATTAGAGCTAACACTAGAGCTAACACTAGAGCTGACACTAGAGCTAACGCTAAAGCTAACACTAGAGCTGACACTAGAGCTAACACTAGAGCTGATGCTAGAGCTGACACTAGAGCTAACGCTAAAGCTAACACTAGAGCTGACACTAGAGCTAACACTAGAGCTGATGCTAGAGCTGACACTAGAGCTAACGCTAAAGCTAACACTAGAGCTGACAATAAAGCTAACACTAGAGCTGACACTAGAGCTGACACTAGAGCTAACCGGTACAGTACACTTCACTTTTCTAATGTATACTGTTCTGAATGTATGTAGAGATTGTGGTTTGTTGACCTCTGACCCTCTGTGTGACCCTCTGTGTGATCCTCTGTGTGACCCCTGACCCTCTGTGTGACCCTCTGTGTGACCTCTGACCCTCTGTGTGACCCTCTGTGTGACCTCTGACCCTCTGTGTGACCCTCTGTGTGACCCTCTGTGTGACCTCTGACCCTCTGTGTGACCCTCTGTGTGACCTCTGACCCAACAGAGAAGCCTTCCCCATGGTGCTGGTGGCAAACAAAGTGGACCTGGTTCATCTGAGGAAGGTGTCGTCAGAGCAGGGTCAAGAGATGGCCTCAAAGCACAATGTGAGCACAGCTGGTCTCTCTCTGGTGTCTCTCTGGTGTCTCTCTAGTCTCTCTGGTGTCTCTCTAGTCTCTCTGATGTCTCTCTGGTGTCTCTCTGGTGTCTCTCTAGTCTCTCTGGTGTCTCTCTGGTCTCTCTCTGGTGTCTCTCTGATGTCTCTCTGGTTTCTCTCTGGTTTCTCTCTGGTCTCTCTCTGGTCTCTCTCTGGTCTCTCTCTGGTCTCTCTCTGGTTTATCTCTGGTCTCTCTCTGGTCTCTCTCTGGTCTCGCTCTGGTCTCTCTCTGGTTTCTCTCTGGTCTCTCTCTGGTCTCTCTCTGGTCTCTCTCTGGTCTCTCTCTGGTGTCTCTCTGATGTCTCTCTGGTGTCTCTCTGGTCTCTCTCCGGTCTCTCTCTGGTCTCTCTCTGGTGTCTCTCTGATGTCTCTCTGGTCTCTCTCTGGTGTCTCTCTGATGTCTCTCTGGTGTCTCTCTAGTCTCTCTGGTGTCTCTCTGGTGTCTCTCTGGTGTCTCTATAGTCTCTCTGGTGTCTCTCTAGTCTCTCTCTGATGTCTCTCCGGTCTCTCTCTGGTCTCTCTCTGGTCTCTCTCTGGTCTCTCTCTGGTTTCTCTCTGGTTTCTCTCTGGTCCCTCTCTGGTCTCTCTCTGGTCTCTCTCTGGTTTCTCTCTGGTTTCTCTCTGGTCTCTCTCTGGTCTCTCTCTGGTCTCTCTCTGGTCTCTCTCTGGTGTCTCTCTGATGTCTCTCTGGTGTCTCTCTGGTCTCTCTCCGGTCTCTCTCTGGTCTCTCTCTGGTGTCTCTCTGATGTCTCTCTGGTCTCTCTCTGGTGTCTCTCTAGTCTCTCTGGTGTCTCTCTGGTGTCTCTATAGTCTCTCTGGTGTCTCTCTAGTCTCTCTCTGATGTCTCTCTGGTGTCTCTCTGGTTTCTCTCTGGTTTCTCTCTGGTCTCTCTCTGGTCTCTCTCTGGTCTCTCTCTGGTCTCTCTCTGGTCTCTCTCTGGTTTCTCTCTGGTCTCTCTCTGGTCTCTCTCTGGTGTCTCTCTGATGTCTCTCTGGTGTCTCTCTGGTCTCTCTACGGTCTCTCTCTGGTGTCTCTCTGGTGTCTCTCTGGTGTCTCTCTAGTCTCTCTCTGATGTCTCTCTGGTGTCTCTCTGGTTTCTCTCTGGTTTCTCTCTGGTCTCTCTCTGGTCTCTCTCTGGTCTCTCTCTGGTCTCTCTCTGGTCTCTCTCTGGTTTCTCTCTGGTCTCTCTCTGGTCTCTCTCTGGTGTCTCTCTGATGTCTCTCTGGTGTCTCTCTGGTCTCTCTACGGTCTCTCTCTGGTGTCTCTCTGGTGTCTCTCTGGTGTCTCTCTGGTGTCTCTCTGGTCTCTCTCTGGTCTCTCTCTGGTCTCTCTCTGGTCTCTCTCTGGTCTCTCTCTGGTCTCTCTCTGGTCTCTCTCTGGTGTCTCTCTGATGTCTCTCTGGTGTCTCTCTGGTCTCTCTACGGTCTCTCTCTGGTGTCTCTCTGGTGTCTCTCTGGTGTCTCTCTGGTCTCTCTCTGGTGTCTCTCTGATGTCTCTCTGATGTCTCTCTGGTGTCTCTCTGGTCTCTCTGGTCTCTTTCTAGTCTCTCTGGTCCTCATGGTTCAGGTTCTCCTCTGGTTACAGATCACGTACATAGAGACCAGTGCCAAAGACCCTCCCATGAACGTGGACAAGGCCTTCCACGAGCTGGTCCGGGTCATCAGGTACACCAGCTGAGCCCAAAGGGTTGAATAGTGACTCACAGGGATCTTTACAGACCTCAGCTTTAAACATGCGTTATTTATGAGACTAAAGTTACAGACCTGAGCTTTAAACATGTGTTATTTATGAGACTAAAGTTACAGACCTGAGCTTTAAACATGTGTTATTGATGAGACTAAAGTTACAGACCTGAGCTTTAAACATGTGTTATTTATGAGACTAAAGTTACAGACCTGAGCTTTAAACGTGTAAATAACCGTCATCTACATTTGACATGTGACATCGGATCTTTGGTTTAATGTGAAGAGAAGAGGGCCCAGGGTTGATCCTTGTGGTTCCCCGTGTAGCTATTTCTAATGGTGCTTTCAGACCGGATCATGCTGCGTCGGCTTTCAATGCAAAGTCAATGGTGACGCGCAATCGAGCGTCAAAACGCACGAACATCTCGGGACGCACGAACGGACTGTTCAATAGAGACGCACGGACTTGGCGGGAAAGTCAAAAGGGAGGAGCAGGAGCAGAAAATGGACGCCCACAGGAGATAAACTTTGCTCAACCTTTCCTCGGGACGTTCGTGAAGCGACCAATCAGAGAGCCGCAAAGTGGTCACGGAGACATTGGTGGTCTGAGCGAGCAGACTGAACATACTGTAAACAGCCAAAACAGGAGCTATACCAGGACTAAACCAGGACTAAACCAGGGCTAAACCAGGACTAAACCAGGACTAAACCAGGGCTAAACCAGGACTAAACCAGGACTAAACCAGGACTAAACCAGGACTAAACCAGGGCTAAACCAGGACTAAACCAGGACTAAACCAGGACTAAACCAGGACTAATGGGAGACTGTGTGCTTGTGAACACGTGCGTGTTCATGCTCCCGTGACTTTATGCAACTGCTTCGAGCGTGTTCGCCGATGCAGAAATACCGTTTAATAATAAAATAAACTTATTGTGCACCTCCGTGAACACATACTCCTGTTATATAAAGTCATGCCGCAAAGCTTTATTGGAGAAGCTCTTTACATGAGAAGCTGCTAGCTAAACTCTGTTAGCATCAGAGCCGGTCGGCTACTTCCGCCACTTCCGGCGCTGGTCAGGACGTTCTGGTGTGAAGACCTCTGCGTCTGAAAACTAGAGAATGCGCATCTGGTGAGCGGGGCTTCAGCGTTTGAGCGTTTGCGGTCTGAAAGCACCATAATGCAGCTCTACAGTAGCTAGCTCTAAAGCAGCTCTACAGTAGCTAGCTCTAAAGCAGCTCTACAGTAGCTGGCTCTAAAGCAGCTCTACAGTAGCTGGCTCTAAAGCAGCTCTACAGTAGCTGGCTCTAAAGCAGCTCTACAGTAGCTGGCTCTAAAGCAGCTCTACAGTAGCTGGCTCTAAAGCAGCTCTACAGTAGCTGGCTCGCAGCTCTACAGTAGCTGGCTCTAAAGCAGCTCTACAGTAGCTGGCTCTAAAGCAGCTCTACAGTAGCTACCTCTAAGTAACTAGCTGTAATGCTGCTGTGTTCCGCAGGCAGCAGGTTCCAGAGCGACACCTGAAGAAGAAGATGAAGTGGAGAGCGGAGCGCAGCGCGGCACATCGACACCGACTGCACTGCACCCTCTTGTGACGAGCACCGGGACTGCACTCCTGCTTCACTCCCCCCTCACCCCAGCCTCACCCAGCCTCACCTCGCCTCACTCCCTCCTCACCCTCACTCCTCCTCACTCCCCTACCGTCTCTCTCCCTCCTCACTACCCCCTCCTCACCCCCGCCTCATTCACTCCCTCAATCCCTCCCCACTCCCTTCCAGTCACCCCCCCTCACCCTCACCCTGGCCCCCTCACCCCCCTCAGGACACTCTGTGCTGAGTGTGTCCTCTCAGGGCACTAGGACATGTTTTCTTTGGGGTCAGACTCTTTCACAAACATTATTTAACGACTGTTAAAGGACAGTACAGCATCGCCTCTGCTGATTGGGCGATACAGCCTGTGCTTCCGTCTGATTGGTCACAGGGACATTGCGTTTGTCAGATTGGATGCAGAAGAGCAGCGCTGGTCTCTGATTGACCGGTTTAAGAGCACAAAAACAGGCTTAAAGGTCCACTACGTTCTACACTGTTTGGCTTCAAAAAGAGTCTGCGGAGAGGCGAGTCTGCGGAGAGGCGAGTCTGCGGAGAGTCTGCAGAGAGTCTGCGGAGAGTCTGCGGAGAGTCTGCGGAGAGTCTGCGGAGAGTCTGCGGAGAGTCTGCGGAGAGTCTGCGGAGAGTCTGCGGAGAGGCGAGTCTGCGGAGAGTCTGCGGAGAGTCTGCGGAGAGTCTGCGGAGAGTCTGCGGAGAGTCTGCGGAGAGTCTGCGGAGAGGCGAGTTCTGCGGAGAGTCTGCAGAGAGTCTGCGGAGAGTCTGCGGAGAGTCTGCGGAGAGCTGCGGAGAGGCGAGTCTGCGGAGAGGCGAGTCTGCGGAGAGTCTGCAGAGAGTCTGCGGAGAGGCGAGTCTGCGGAGAGGAGAGTCTGCGGAGAGTCTGCGGAGAGTCTGCGGAGAGTCTGCGGAGAGTCTGCGGAGAGTCTGCGGAGAGTCTGCGGAGAGGCGAGTCTGCGGAGAGGCGAGTCTGCAGAGAGTCTGCGGAGAGTCTGCGGAGAGGCGAGTCTGCGAGAGGAGAGTCTGCGGAGAGTCTGCGGAGAGTCTGCGGAGAGTCTGCGGAGAGTCTGCGGAGAGTCTGCGGAGAGGCGAGTCTGCGGAGAGGCGAGTCTGCGGAGAGGCGAGTCTGCGGAGAGTCTGCAGAGAGTCTGCGGAGAGGCGAGTCTGCGGAGAGGAGAGTCTGCGGAGAGTCTGCGGAGAGTCTGCGGAGAGTCTGCGGAGAGTCTGCGGAGAGTCTGCGGAGAGGCGAGTCTGCAGAGAGTCTGCGGAGAGTCTGCGGAGAGTCTGCGGAGAGGCGAGTCTGCGGAGAGTCTGCGGAGAGTCTGCGGAGAGTCTGCGGAGAGGCGAGTCTGCGGAGAGTCTGCGGAGAGTCTGCGGAGAGTCTGCGGAGAGTCTGCGGAGAGGAGAGTCTGCGGAGAGTCTGCGGAGAGGAGAGTTTGCGGAGAGTCTGCGGAGAGTCTGCGGAGAGGCGAGTTTGCGGAGAGTCTGCGGAGAGTCTGCGGAGAGGAGAGTCGCTGTGTGAAGCAAAGAAACACGAGCAGATGTGACGGCCGCCCTGCAGAACATGAGAGAGATCAGAGAGAGAGACAGAAACCAGAGAGAGAGGGACCAGAGAGAACGCCCCTGGTTTCTCTGGTCCTGGTTTCTCTGGTGCTGGTTTCTCTGGTGCTGGTTTCTCTGGTGCTGGTTTCCCTGGTCCTGGTTCTGTTCAGGCCGAGGTGGTTCTACCAATATTTAAAAAGGATCTTTTCAGAATTCTCTGTTAAATGTTGTTTGGATTTTTCATTTTATTGTTAATTGTTGTAAAGTGAGCGTGAAAGACGCTGTCAATAAAATGCATTATTATTATTGTTTTTATTCTATTATATTTAAAATAGTGTTTCTTTGAGGTCTCTCTCTGGTCTCTCACTGATCTCTCTTTGGTCTCTCTCTCTCTGGTCTCTCATTGGTCCCTCTCTCTTTGGTCTCTCTCTCTCTGGTCTCTCTCTCTGGTCTCTCTCTCTGGTCTCACTCTCTGGTGTTTCTGGTCTCTCTCTGGTGTCTCTGGTTCATTGAGCTAGCGGGTTAGCATTGAGCTAGCGGGTTAGCATTGCCCTCCACATTTTCTATCCATAGACTATATATATTAAATTTCTATCTCACTCATAGACTGTAAATATTAACTACACTGCAAACTTTTTCTTGACTAGCAGCTGTTTGGCAGGTTCGCTGTTTGCTAATCGGTGAGAGAGTTAGCATTGGCATTGAGATACTGGGTTAGCATTGAGCTGGTCGTATTTTTTTATGAAGGAAACTGTTACTTTGGATTAAACATCAGTGATTGATACAGATCGTGGAAGTCTGAAGGCGTGTTCCGGGTTCAGTGATTGTGGTTTTGAAGATTTGAAAATCAACATATTTGTTATGAAAGAGTTATGCAAAACAGCTGTTGTGTGTTTCATGTTCTCTGTGTGCTGGAAGACTGTGGGAGCGTGGCAGACCGACACACCAGAGGAATGGGCCAGAATTCCAGATCACTATGAAGGATCCCTAAAACGTTTGATCCAAGAGAGTTTTGAAGTCAATTGAATGAATAAAACTGGACTAAGGTCTGCGGTCAGCTCTAAAGTCCATGGTCCAGAGGAGACAAAAGAAACACACAGAAACATTTTTATATTAAACTTTAATAAAACAAAAGTCATGATGCAGAGTCATGCAGAACAATCATTCACATGCTGTCGCCGTGACAACCGAAAAGTAGGGTGACGCGCCGGCTCTATGAGAGAGGCGAGTCAGGTCTATCAGAGAGGCGAGTCAGGTCTATGAGAGAAGCGTCAGGTCTGTGAGAGGCAAGTCAGGTATATGTGTGAGGGGAGTCAGGTCTATGTGTGAGGCGAGTCAGGTCTATGTGTGAGGCGAGTCAGGTCTATGTGTGAGGCGAGTCAGGTCTATGTGTGAGGCGAGTCAGGTCTATGTGTGAGGCGAGTCAGGTCTATGAGAGAGGCGAGTGAGGTCTATCAGAGAGGCGAGTCAGGTCTATCAGAGAGGCGAGTCAGGTCTACGAGAGAGGCGAGTCAGGTCTATCAGAGAGGCGAGTCAGGTCTATCAGAGAGGCGAGTCAGGTCTATCAGAGAGGCGAGTCAGGTCTATGAGACGAGTCAGGTCTATGAGAGACGAGTCAGGTCTATGAGAGAGACGAGTCAGGTCTATGAGTGACGAGTCAGGTCTATGAGAGAGGCGAGTCAGGTCTATGAGAGACGAGTCAGGTCTATGAGAGACGAGTCAGGTCTATGAGAGACGAGTCAGGTCTATGAGAGACGAGTCAGGTCTATGAGAGACGAGTCAGGTCTATGAGAGACGAGTCAGGTCTATGAGAGAGACGAGTCAGGTCTGTGAGTGACGAGTCAGGTCTATGAGAGAGACGAGTCAGGTCTATGAGTGACGAGTCAGGTCTATGAGAGAGACGAGTCAGGTCTATGAGTGACGAGTCAAGTCTATGAGAGACGAGTCAGGTCTATGAGAGAGACGAGTCAGGTCTATGAGTGACGAGTCAGGTCTATGAGAGACGAGTCAGGTCTATGAGAGACGAGTCAGGTCTATGAGAGACGAGTCAGGTCTATGAGTGACGAGTCAAGTCTATGAGAGACGAGTCAGGTCTATGAGAGACGAGTCAGGTCTATGAGAGACGAGTCAGGTCTATGAGAGAGACGAGTCAGGTCTATGAGTGACGAGTCAAGTCTATGAGAGACGAGTCAGGTCTATGAGAGACGAGTCAGGTCTATCAGAGACGAGTCAGGTCTATGAGTGACGAGTCAGGTCTATCAGAGACGAGTCAGGTCTATCAGAGACGAGTCAGGTCTATGAGAGACGAGTCAGGTCTATGAGAGACGAGTCAGGTCTATCAGAGACAAGTCAGGTCTATCAGAGACGAGTCAAGTCTATCAGAGACGAGTAAAGTCTATCAGAGACGAGTCAAGTCTATGAGTGACGAGTCAAGTCTATCAGAGACAAGTCAAGTCTATGAGTGACGAGTCAGGTCTATGCTTCCATGGCCCCTCCCCCTGACCCCACCCCCTACTCGCTCGTGTAAGTATTATTGCACAGGTGGATGTGGCGTGTGGTTTCCGTGGCGACAGCAGTTCGTTTGTCGAGTTTATTCGTTCGGACATTTGTGTGATGTCATTGGTGCGCTGTGACATCATCTGACGTGATGTCATCGGTGCGCTGTGACATCATCTGGCGTGATGTCATCGGTGCGCTGTGACATCATCTGGCGTGATGTCATTGGTGCGCTGTGACATCATCTGGCGTGATGTCATTGGTGCGCTGTGACATCATCTGGCGTAGGTCCTGATGTAATCCTGCACCTTGTTCCGGAAGTCCTCCTGGAAACAAAAACATTTAAAATTGCCATATTCTATTTATACAAAATAGAATATATTCATAATCTGATATATTTATAATCTGATATATTATAATCTGATATATTATAATCTGATATATTTCTAAAAACAAATAAAGGGGTGTATTTACTGGTGAATATAACAAAAATACAGTGCAAAAAAATAAGGCAGCCGAATGCTAACTGCTGACAGTAACTTGTGTGTTGCTATGGTAACTAGGGCAGTGTGTTGTTAGGGTAACTAGGACAGTGTGTTGTTAGGGTAACTAGGGCAGTGTGTTGTTAGGGTAACTAGGGCAGTGTGTTGTTAGGGTAACTAGGACAGTGTGTTGTTAGGGTAACTAGGACAGTGTGTTGTTAGGGTAACTAGGACAGTGTGTTGCTAGGGTTACTAGGACAGTGTGTTGTTAGGGTAACTAGGACAGTTTGTTGTTAGGGTAACTAGGACAGTGTGTTGTTAGGGTAACTAGGACAGTGTGTTAGAGTAACTAGGACAGTGTGTTAGGGTAACTAGGACAGTGTGTTGTTAGAGTAACTAGGGCAGTGTGTTGTTAGGGTAACTAGGACAGTGTGTTGTTAGGGTAACTAGGACAGTGTGTTGTTAGGGTAACTAGGGCAGTGTGTTGTTAGGGTAACTAGGGCAGTGTGTTGTTAGGGTAACTAGGGCAGTGTGTTGTTAGGGTAACTAGGGCAGTGTGTTGTTAGGGTAACTAGGACAGTGTGTTGTTAGGGTTACTAGGACAGTGTGTTGTTAGGCTAACTAGGACAGTGTGTTGTTAGGGTAACTAGGACAGTGTGTTGTTAGGGTAACTAGGACAGTGTGTTGTTAGAGTAACTAGGACAGTGTGTTGTTAGGGTAACTAGGACAGTGTGTTGTTAGAGTAACTAGGGCAGTGTGTTGTTAGGGTAACTAGGACAGTGTGTTGTTAGGGTAACTAGGACAGTGTGTTGTTAGGGTAACTAGGGCAGTGTGTTGTTAGGGTAACTAGGGCAGTGTGTTGTTAGGGTAACTAGGACAGTGTGTTGTTAGGGTTACTAGGACAGTGTGTTGTTAGGGTAACTAGGACAGTGGGTTTTTAGGGTAACTAGGACAGTGGGTTGCTATGGTAACTAGGACTGGCTCTTTGGTGAAAAACCAAGCAGAACCAGGACCCGACCAGGACCTTAAACAGGGCCTTAACTGCCACAGAAAGTTGGTTTCCCATTTAAATGAACGGAGGAAAAGGTAGATCTCACATTTAAAAAATGCAAGATCGTTTCATGATAATAAAGACAGAAATAAACGACTAATAGAAAGAGAGAAGTCCACAAAGGAACATATGATACGGTAAAAGCTCAGTCCAGACCTTGTCTCTCAGATGGTGTTCTGCAGCGTCAATGTTCAGAGGATCATCAAAGTTCAGCAAATCCTGAAACAAAAACACACTCCTTTGTTCTGATGTTTCCTACGGTAGAATCAGGTGCAGACAATATTCTCTCACCGTGAACAAAGAGTTCAGGCCCCAGACCACGTCCTGCAA